TTAGGGGTTTGGGGCTTTAAGGGTTTAGGATTTAAGGTTCGGGCTCAATGGTTGCTTGCTTTGCAGATAATTTTTGAGGAACTTCATCTAAGTTGCACTACGATGTTTTCCTTTCTATGGCAATCTAAGTTAAGTTCCTGAACAAGAACCCAGTCTCGGTGATGCGGAACATCTCTCCGCAAACCACTCTGCAGAGAAGCATCACGAAGTGCCCGTCACTGTCAGGCTGCGCATACTCATCCGACTTAGACGAAGCCTCGGCAAAGTAGCAGCCACGCCCAAAGGCAGTGCCAGCATTCACGCCGGCCAAGATGCGACGAAATCCTTGCTCAGAGATGGCTTTCGCCTTAGCGGATGCTGGAGCCCTGGGGAACACTTGCCTACAGAAACCCTGAGCCCTACAACCCTAAACCCTGAACCTAAACCCCTAAATCCCTAAACCCGAAACCTTTAAACCCTAAGCCCTAAACCCTCTGGAGCCCTGGGGAACACTTGCACTGAGAGGTCTAGCCTTCCGATCCCTACCCTAGAGCGTGGACAGCTAAACTTCAGCTACAATTACAAAATAATGTAGATGCCTTGATAGATAGAATAGGGTTTTGGGGCCCATTATACTATAGTTATAACAAGGACCCCAGAGGAATGATATAAGTAGTTAACTAGGCTTCTATGTTATCCTTCTCCAAATCCCATGGAAAAGCTCGTGAAGCCTCTGAAGAACACCAACTATGCCCTCATCGGTACGAGGCTTCTTGAGCCCAGATTCCCAAGTTCAGTCTAAACCCGATCCCCCCTTATAGAGCTCTTCTAAAAACTTAAACAACACAACCACCGACCGTCACTCCCCTCACACCTCCTAAACCCGAAACCATAAACCCTAAACCCTAAACCCTAAACCCTAAACCCTAAACCCTAAACCCTAAACCCTAAACCCTAAGCCCTAAACCCTAAACCCTAAACCCTCACACCTCCCCCACCCCAAAAGAAGGCAGCTGCCCAGTGGCTCCCACTGGGCTGGTCCCATGGAAGAGGTAGAGCTCGGCGATGCTTGTCTTCAGCCGCCCTTCCCAGGGTTTAGGTTTTAGGGTTTAGGGTTTAGGCATTAGGGCAAAGAACCTCATTGGCTTCCATGCCTTTAAAGGTTTTTCTTTGCAAGAGTCTTGAAAGGGGTTTTCTTCGGATTCCTGAACGCGTTCCCCCTAGAGTAAACCCTAAACCCTAAACCCTTCTGCAAGGCTTCTACAAGGGCGCTTCCAAGGGTTCTTTGTGAATGCGTCCAAACGGGCTTTAGGGGTTTTTAGAGGGTGTCATGAGGATTCTCAGGGTTTCTTTGAGGGTTCTATAAGAGCGTTCTTCAACCTGAAACCCATGAGGACCTCACAGAGAGTTTGTAGGAAGCCTTCTAGTAAGCATTATCAGAACTAACAGCCTTTATAGCAACACGTATAATAAGCCTTTTTGTAACCCTTACTGTACCCCGTATCGAGCCTAGGCTTTGAAACAAAAGCCTGCAGACTGTACCCGCCGTTGCAGTGTTCTGCGGGTTCAGGGCCTACAATAGGTGGCGGGTTCAGGGCTTGGGGGCTTAGGGTTAGCGTTTAGGGCTTAAGGTTTGAGAGCGGCCTGCCATAGGGTGGGTTTTTGCAACTCCACTGTTTGGCAGAAGTGGCCCGTCGACTACTAAAATGTGGGTTCGTAGCACTAAATGTTCAGTTTTAGACGCACATAAAGGTCACAGAGAGCGGTCGACAGTGGGGCCTGGGTTTGATTTTATTGCTTTTCACTGGGTTTCAGGGTTAATAGCTCTATGATGCAGGAGCTTGTGTTTGTGTGGTTTGTAGGCCATAATCCACAATGCAAGGTTCAAAAGTAAGTTTCGGAAGGGCCTATTCGAGCTGTGCAAATGCCGCTTTCAGACAAGTGCCACACCAGTGTGCAGGTTGAACACTTAATCGGTGTTCTTGTGCAGAGTTTGTACAAGCAGAAAACAATTTAAATAACGGTGATTTCAAGACTCGTTAAACAAACCCTGAGGACGCGCCACATAACCTCGACAGTGTTCCTATGCAGCTTAGAGCCTCTAGCCTTTAAGGTTTGGACTCTCTACCCAAAGCAAACCCAGCCAACACTAGCAACAATGCTAACAATGTTTGAGAACACCAGTGTAAAGATTCGGCCAAATTAGCTGTTGAATTGCATATGTAGGGTTAACGAAGTGTGCATACACGGACGTGCCCTTGTTTTGCACACTGAAGCAAAGATAAGATGTCAGCTGATTCTTCCTATCTATTTACATATAAGGCCCTAAAAACCCTAAACCCTAAACCGCAAACCCTAAACCGTAAACCCTAAAAGCGTAAAACCCTAAACCCGCATCACTGAACCGAAAGCCTGCGAGATCACCCAGGGACATGGAGGTACGAACGTGGCCGGTCTCCGGATCCCCATCCAGATCCTCTTCAGGGGTATACGATTTAGGGCTTAGGGTTTATGCTCCAGATTTGAGGGAAAGGGTTGCTGAATTCTTAGCGTGCGGTTTTGGATTTAGGGCTTAGCCGGGTTGGGGATTCGCCCCCATCGCCCTCGATTCGTGGTGCGCTACTTCCATGCCTCGTTCTCTGAAGTACACCGTAGAACTTTACAGCTTCGGGCTTTAACGTTGAGGGAGGAGGGCGTCCCCAATCACTATCCCTAAACCCATGAAGGCAGACCCGCCTGAACCCTGAAGTTGACTCCTTAAAGACCCACGACCCACAACTCCCGAATAGCCAGTATAAGCCCTTATAGGAACCCTCATAGTCATAGCACCCTTCAAGGAACCCTGACAGGTATCCTTATAGTCACTAACCTTAAAGGAATGCTTACAGGAGCCCTTATCATGCCTTTAACAGCAATTTAAAGGCTCTCGGCACGGCTCCTGTATAGGAGTGCAACCATCTGGCCGCCGTTTCTCTAAGGCCGCAGTCGCGTTGAGGTAGCGAGCCTAAACGCTTTAGGGTTTGGGATTTCGGGTTTGGGGTTTAGGGCTGAGGATCTAGGGTTTAGGGCTTAGGGTTTAGGGTTTAGGGATATACTGGTCCCGACGGCTCCAAACCTCAGGCCTTGAACTGAAACCCCTCAAACGCCTAAACTCAACCTTAAGCTCGAAATCCACTGTCACAAGCCTGCACGCCCCTGAGATGGCGCTCATGAAGCCTTTTAAACAGCCCTTGTGAAGTCCCAGAACAACCCTGCAAGTCCAATACCCCTAAACTCCCAAGCCCGCAACCCCGTTACAACCCTGAACCCTCAAACCCGTTTCATACCATGTTTGAGCCCGTCTCGCGAAATTTCGCGGCAAAAGGAACCGTACAGGGTCCTAAACCCTAAACCCTAAACCCTAAACCCCTAAACCCTAAACCCTAAACCCTGAACCCTGAACCCCTAAACCCCTAAACCTTAAACCCTCCAAACCCCTAAACCCCTAAACCCTAAACCCTCCAAACCCCTAAACCCTAAACCCCTAAACCCTAAACCCTCCAAACCCCTAAACCCTCCAAACCCTAAACCCTAAACCCTAAACCCCTAAGCCCTCCAAACCCTAAGCCCTAAACCCTCCAAACCCTAAACCCTAAACCCCTAAACCCTAAACCCTAAACCCCAAAACCCTAAACAAGTAG